GGGCTGGGCCCGGGGCGTGGCTGCGGCCGAGCAGGGGGCGTGCGCTGCTCCGGACCGTCCCCACCGGTCTAGTCCGGGACCGCAGAGGTCTGGGGGAGCCGGTGTGTGTCGGTGCGCGTGCGTGCGTCCGTCTGTCCTCGTCCCTGGGTATTTCTATGCTATGCGCGGGCTGTCTGTCTGTCTGTCTGTCTGAGGTGTGTTAAGGGTGGGGGGAGCACCTGCCCCTGGGGTAGGGGGCGGGGCGGTATTTTTGTGGGTCTCTCTGTGTGTCTGTCCGTCTGGTGTGCCCGTGTGTCGGCTCATCCCGGATGAGGACGTCTGAGGCTCTTCCCGAGAGGAGGGATCATCCCTCGTCCTCCCCCAAGGGCGTGGGGAGCTGCTCCTGGACGGAGGGGAACCGGGTCTGTGGGAGGGGATGTGCCCCGGGGTCCGCGGTGGAGCTGCGGGCGCCCGAGGGCCTCCCCTTCCAGGGCCCCCGGCGCCCGCCCTCCCCGGAGCGGCCGAGTCTGCCGGGGCGCCGCGAGGAGGAGGTCTGGGAGGTCCGCGCAGGAGAGCGCGCAGGGCGGGCTGCTTCGAGCGCGGGGCTGATGGCACCCAGGGGAGGATTCGGATCCCGTACCCTCCAGCCACCGAAAGACAAAACAAATAGCGGGTGGGACTTGGCTGGGGGAGGAGCACGACACGGGGAGGACACCCCCGCCGTGTTGGTTCAACGCTCTGCTGCTGCTATCTTGAAATTCATCATTTCGAGCAAATGGGCCCACGTTGTGGTTTTGCACTTTGCCCAGCAAGTTGCAGTAGCCCGTCCTGAGTGAAAAATTAGGGGTGGGGGAGCCCTTGACCCAGAAGGAGTTGACCTGGGGACCTTGCCTTGCCTTCATTCAATTCATTCATTCGTTCCATCAACACATACTTACCCCACGTGAGTCATTTGCCAAGCTCTGTTGTAGGCGCCGGGGATTCAGCTGTGAAAGACTCTGCCTCTGTGGAGCTGACATTCAGGTGGAGACAAATATTTCGGGAGTCCTCCCCGGGAAGCTGGACAGCATGAACCATGGGACTTCGTCCTTGCCTACTAGGAGGTCATGGCCCAGGGGAAAACGGAGAAACCAGCCTCCGTGAGCAGGGCTGCGGGAAGGGCAGGGCTGAGGAAGGCTGACTAGGGGCAGCACCTGCACTGTCTTCATTCCTGGGAGCAGGAGCTGGAATGGGGTAGGCATGGCAGAGGGTGACCCTGGGAGAGGAGCCAGCACGTGCAAAGCAATGAGCGTGAAACACAGGTTGTAATCAGGGAACACGTCCACCTGCAGGACTGGAGCTTGCTGTGTGCTCTTCAGCCACATGTCCCCAGAGCCAAGCCAAAGTGGACGCTCAGGATGTGAACCAGTGAGTTAATGAGCGCACTAACGAACGGGTGTGTGAATGAGCAAGGGAGGCCTGAGTGTCCTCATCAGATCCATGAGGGTGTAGGACAGACACAGTGTCGCATCTTCCCAGCCGTGCTTTATCCCTTTACCTTGCTTTTCATTTCCTTCTTGGCACGTTACCTGCAGTGTGTAGACATTGCTCTCTCTCTGTAACAAAAGCTCTGTGAGAACTTTGTCTTGTCCACTGCGGTGTCTCCAGCATGTTCAACAGCAGTGCCCAGTACATAGCAGGTGTTCAATAAATATGTGTTCGCTGGCTGGATGGATGGACGGATGGGTAAGGTGAGAAGGCTCTTTTCATCCTTTCTATTTACTCCATGTTCCCCTGTGGCCTTGTCCCCCTCCCCATCACCCCTATTTCTCACACATCACGGTAACTGTCTACTTTTTAACTGTTTTTCCAATTCTGAGCTCCCTAAAGACAGAACTATGTCTGGCTTATTCTGCTCTCTAGCACTCAGCATGTGCTCTTTTTCAATCCATCGAGAAATTTATACTGAGCATCTCCCATGTGCCAGGTACTGTGCCAGGCCTGGGGACAGCAAGATGAAACCCACATTTTGTACCAAGTGCCACAGGAACCTGGGAAAGAGAGAGCCTGGTGCCTGGCAAGGGCCCCATGAATGCCCCAGGCCCCCATAAAACCACTACTTTTTATTTCACTTTGCAATTTCACAACTCACATTTCCATCCATTATCTCTTTTTCATCAATCAGCTCCATTCAACATGGATTTTCAGAGAAAGTCAATATCAAGTGATGGTTAGGTGAGTGACTTGTAGTCAGATTGTGGGATTTGAATCAGGCTCCATCACTAACGCTGTGTGACCATGGACACGTTACTAAACCTTTCTGTGCCTCAGCCCCCTCATCTGTCAAATAAAGCTCTTAAAAATAATCATTCTTATGAGATTCTATGAGAACAAAGTGAATTGATACATATGAAGCACTTTGGAAAGTGCCTGCCAAATACAATGTCCCTAAGATACTGCTACTCGGGCCAGCCCGTGGCTCACTTGGGAGAGTGTGGTGCTGATGACACCAAGGCCATGGGTTCGGATCCCTATATAGGGATGGCCGGTTATCTCACTTCAGAGAGCGTGGTGCTGACAACACCAAGTCAAGGGTTAAAATTCCCTTACCGGTCATCTTTAAAAAAATTTTAAAAGATACTAATATTCTCTGAGCTCCTGCGGTGTGAGGCAGTGTGTTCCATCATACGTGTGCTCCCCTTCCACCCTGTCATTACTGGGAAACTGCTGCCCAGCCAGACTCTAAGTCCCAGTGCCCTTTGCATCTGGGTGGGGCCAGGTGGAGTGGAGTGGTCAATGGAGTATGGGAGCACCCCAGGCCCAGGCCATGAAAACCTCCCACGCCACTCTCCATCTTCTCTCCTCCCCCCACCAGCTGGACTTCAACACCATTACCTAGAACACCCTTGGAGCCTCATGCTGAAGATGGCACAGCATGTCAGCCCAAGTCCCCCTGGTGACAGGTGAAGCAGGTTCTCCCTGTTGAAGCTGGACCTTACATGAGTGGAAAATAAACTCACATTGTGCTAAGCCACTGGCGGTTTGAAATTTGTGTTATAGCAGCTAGCATTACCTTAACTCATTCAGTACAAAGGTAAATAATTCTCAATCCCTGTCTGAAAATCAGGTGGGACTGTCCATGGGCTACCTTGATTACATTCAATAAGCAATGAAATGTGTCTGGACACAACAGAGACTAAAGTCTTTCCCCTTTATTCTCTTTTCAGGAGAATGCTAAAGCCCATTGAGAGATTTACCCACACTGCTTTCTGCCTCCCACTGATATTTTTCAAAGGCCTGAGCTGCACAGGACCCCCAACTTCTTATGACAGATATGGAGGGCAGATACAGAGGGGACACAAGCAATGCTCTGATGGCCTCCAGGCCGTCTGCTTTCACTTCGTGTGCAGTGTGTCCCTCTGCCCACGGCCCACCGTGAGAACTAGCCACACGGCTCACTCAGTATAAGGGGCTGCAAATGCCCTGACCAGGCGGCCGCTTCCCAGTGACAGTTCAGTGCCACATGGATGATGATGGGAGACATGCTGTCCCCTTACATGGGCTCCCTGATTCCAGTGAGGACGGTGGGAGTACAGAGGGCCTGAGGACAACTGGCACACTTGACCACCAGAGGTGACACAGGGACAGTTACCCTGATGGGCAACAGGACCCAAATGGCAATGAGAAGATTTTGCCTCCAGTTGCCTTTGGTGATGGCTCTATAACCCCAGTATTTTTAAGAATAAGAGAGATGGGCAGTGTATTAGTTTCTTAAGATGGGTGTAACAAAGCACCACCCATTGGATGGCCTAAGGGCCTCCCACTTCAGTATGACCCCATCTTAACTTACATCTTAATTCCATCTGCAAAGATCCTATTTCCAAATAAGTTCACATTCAGAGGTACCAGGGGTTAGGACTTTAACTTATCTTCCGGTGAGATAAATTTCAACCAACCACAGGCAACCTATTCATTGCAGCTTTATTCACAGTAGTCAAGATAGGGAATCAACCTAAGCAACTATCAATGGGTAAATGAATAAAGAAAATGTGGTATGCAGTATACACAAAACGGAATTCTAGTCAGCCTTAAATAAAAGAAGGAAATTCTGTCATTTGCGACAAAATGAATAAACCAGGAGGACATTATGTTAAGTGAAATAAGCCAGGCACAGAAAGACAAATACTGCATGATCTCACTTACGTGTGGGATCTCAAAAAGTTGAACTCATAGAAGCAGAGAGGAGAATGATAGTTACCAGG